GCAAATTTGTAAATATAGCCTTAAAAACAATTGAAATGAAATGTAGAGCAAAACCACTGAAAAACATGACCAGAACATAAATGACTTACAAATTAATGTCAAGTAGCCTGACATTTGAGTCCAAGAAAAAGAAGGAAAGAGGGAGCATAAAATTATTTGCAAAAATGATGGTCAAAATTTTTCATAATTTAATGTAACAGTAAAACCAGGGACTCAAGGACCTCAAGATACTCCAAGGAGAATAAATACAGAAAAAGAAACTCAGGATATCATAACCAAATTACTGAGAAACAGAGATAACATAAAATTGTATATGGGATAGGGGCAAGCCAAAAGGGGCATATGCAGAGAATGACGGCCAACTTCTCATTAGACACTATGAAAACCAGGCAAATATGGAGTAACATCTTCTAAGTACTGACCAAAAATATATGATAACTTACAGTTCCATTCCCTGAGAGGATATCTGTAAAAGGTAAAAGTATGGAATATTTTATAGCAGATGTGCATTACAATACAATAGCTAGCAAAAAAAGTCATTAAGGAGAAAAAAAATGATACCAGAGAGATTTGGATCTACACAAAGAATAGAGAGAAAGACAGTAAATATGTGAACAGAAACAGGTATTTCAAAAACGTCAACCTTTTAATTTCCTTAAGTACATTTACTTTCAAGTAAAAAATACTAGTGTATATTGTGGGTTGTAAAATATCAGTGTAGCACAGACTTGTAGATTAATGGAATGGGGTAGAGAACCCAGAATGGGGTAGAGAACCTAGAACCCAAAACTGATACTTGTGTTCAAATAACTTTGGAAACAAAGCACAAATTAATTTTATTCAGGAAAAGATGTCTTTTCAGCATACTATACAGGAATGTCTGGGCATCCAGATGCAAAAAAAAAAAAAAAAGGAAACGGCCTTTATATTTACCATTTACCTCATACATATACATAAAATTTAACTCAAAATAGATCATAGACCTTAATATATAATCTAAAAGATTCCACTATCATCTTTATGCCAGAGTTAGTCTTTGACATTCTTGAAAATATTTAACTAGAAGAAATTAGAGACAAATTTAGAATATTTATATCACTGAGGATGTGCCAGAGGTTTCGATTCCCAGTTGGTGAATAGTAATGATACCACTCAGATAGAAAATCTAAGAAGAGTTTTAAAAAACAAACAAACAAAAAACCACTTGAGATCAGACTGGGACTCCTAAACTCAATGGACTTTAAGTGGAAATAGCTGATAGATATAGTTGCGGAGGTGGGTAGAAATGGATTTTAGACATTTTGGCAGAAAGATAATAGTGGAAGCTTTGAAGGAATGGATTACATCACCAGTGGAAGAAAATAAGTTTTAAGAGAGTGATTTAGGCTCTTGGGGTTCACATTAAAGCATTTTGAGTGAATAGGGAATGATGAGTCAAAAAATAAAACTAAAGAAGTTCAGTTGTGAAAAAAAGATGGAGCACAAGCAGTGAGCTCCATTGAGATCTTCACAGATAGACACTATAATTTGATACAGACTGGGAATGTTACAGACCCGCTTCATGTTAGGTCAAGTGCATGATGCATAGCTGCCCAGTGTCAGGTAAACTCCTGGACTGTTAAATATTCATTCCAATGACAGCATATAGCAATATATATCTATGAAATAATTAAAGCACATCGAATACAAAATAAACAGGATTCTTTCCTGCTGCATACATTATTAAGAAAGCCATAATCACTTACTAATGTCATTAGTTGATTCTGTATTGCAGGTGGAATTGGACATTGTCTTGATGTTTTTTTCCCAAAGAGAATGAAATTCTAAATAGAACAGGACTTAGTTTAATATGTTGAGATTTCTAGTAAAAAGGTGTTCTTAAATGAACATACTCTAACTTTTCCTCTATCATTCATATTCAGAAAAGTAGGAAGTTTTCTCCACTCATCCCTAGGAGAAGTAATTCTGAGTAGTTTAAACTTGTAGTAATTTTGTGTTTTGCTTCAAAAAATAGTTATATGGGAATATGTGTTTGAAAAAAAACATTTCATTTTGAAGATAGCATTATCTTTTCTTTATTTTCAAACAGGTAAACTGGATATTCCTTGGTTCTGAGTTTATTATTTTTACTGTATTGATAAGCTGATACATTAAATAAATTTTTATCATAATATTTAGAGATCTTTTCTTCTTGCATTTAATACAGTACAAGCTGATCCAGAAAAAGAATAATGTTGGTGCAGGCCAATGGTATAATGGATAACATGTCTGTATATGGATCAGAAGAGGAAAAGGGATTCAGAACACTCAGGCAACTACTCAGACATGACCACACCTTTCCATTGACTTTACTTCCCTAGTTTCATCCAGTTGTAGGAACAACAATATATGGATGTGTTGGGTTTAAATGACTATATTAATCTCCTCAAACTGATTTATGTTGACTCTAAAACATACCAAGTCCATTGGTCTACTTTTAATAAATAGTGCTAATCTACAAAATTAATATTCTTCAAGGTCACAGAGATATTGCAATGGATTATTGAATAAAATCTAATACAATATAATCTACATATAGTACCCTGGTGATTCAGAGAATTTCCAAGCAGTCTAATATATTAGTCAGTATAGACACAAAGTAAAAAAAAACAGCTATTGTTGTTTTTAAGATTGTGATGCATTGTATTCAACTATCCAAAGAAAATCTGGATTGTATAATTGCAAGAATTTTCTGAATTATCTAAATCAACTCAAATAAGATTTAGATAAATGAAGTGGAATCTCTGCTTGTGCATGCATGGGAAGGAAACGATTACTAGTATTGTAGAAGATCTCATTGGGTATGAATAGATATTCTGCTACATAGTAATTATATGAATACTGTGGAGACTGGAGCTGTAGTAGCAGGAATTCAAAGAAGGCAAGCTGTTTTGTTCTAAAAATAAATCAAAAGAATTTATCGAAACTATCAACAGAGAAATAGTTTGGTTTAAGCTGAATGGGAGTAAATTCACAATTTTTACTATTAAATTCACATTGATGAATATATCCAGGATATGTGAATAATTATGCAAATAGCATGTTATTCCCCATTTTCCTGTAAATATACTGACTGGTTTGAATACTGTCTAGCCATATTTTTCCATCAGAACTTTTTTTTATATCTTCCACTCCCATTTGAACACTTAATTGCAAACATCATTGGACATTTCTTGTTCCTTTCCAATATAAATGGACCTTTTATTTTATGTTTTCTTATTCAAAATATTTTTCAGTCTATTATTAACATATATTCATTTTTCCATATTTCTTGTTTTCTTACGTTCTCAAAATAGATTCAATATAACTAATATATTAACAGAGTGTTTTAAATAGCCAATAAAATTTAGCAATGGTGGGCTGGGGTTATGGCTCAGTGGTAGAGGGCTTGCCGAACACGTGTGAGGTGCTGGGTTTGATCCTTAACACCACACACAAAAAATAAATGAATAAAGTCATTGTGCCCATCTACAACTAAAAGAAAAAAAATTAAAAATAGAAAAATAGCAATGGTTATGTCAGCATTGTAGGCACATTTGAGAAATGATGGATATTCAAAACATGTAGGGATTTGGAGTTAGGGAAGAAAGATAGGAACAGTTAGATAGAGCAGGTGATGAGGGGACTGGAATAAGAAAAACTACTGAATTTTTAGGCAACTTGGGAACTTATTCCATTTGTGCTAACATAAGCAATTTGTGGTAAAACAGATTATCACACTTAGTTTTTTAACTGATTAACAAAGAGGTTAACTTCAAGGTCCCTTCCAGCTTACAATTTTATGATCTATTGCAAAGAAGGAACTATGAAGATACAATACAGTCTTATTAGGCACTTGTTTTGCACAAGATTTAATGGAGTTTAATTGCTGACATTCACAACAAGAAGATTTAGAGATCATTTAGCAACCAGGAGTTAGACATGGCACTATTGACTGCATATTGAGAGTGCACAAAGAAATAATTACCTTGAGTTACAGCAATATTGAAGTCGGCATTATATATAAGGATGCTGCATTAAATGGTGAGAATATCAATTATTATCCAAAATAACGCTGCACATTATAGGGCCCCTTTCTAACAGATGACAAAGTATGACTCCATTAACAATGTGGGTCAATGCTTGACTTATGTCTGTACTCCTTCAACAGACTGTTAGGCCACATGCATGTTAAGTGTACTATAATACAGAGAATCAATTACTGCATCCTTCCTTGTGTTACAGGGTGAAGCTCTTAAAACATTTCCTCAGGAAACTGCAAAGTATAGCTATAAAGTTCTTTACTGTTGGGAGGGTGTACTTACTAGGTGTTTACCACCAGCTTGTAAATTCTACCATGCCAGGTTTCACAGTAACCTTGTTAACATTGAGCATTACTGAAACCATTTGTTGGAGGAGACAGTTCAAGGGGTGGTAATTAGGAGTAAAAGGCAAATGTTTTCATAGGGAAGACTGTTATGTCATCTCTACTACTGAGATTTGTTCATGATATTTTAAAAAAGTTACTCAGTATTTTTAAGATACATCTTTCTCTCTTTAGCCTTTAACCTTGCTTAGAATAGTAAATGTACATAGTCTGATCACTTTCTTCTTAAGATGTGTTTGGAATGACTTGAAAGGTGCAGCAGGTAGATGTTGCTCAAATGATTATCCCCAGTGAAATTCATCTCCAAAGACAGGGTTTAGAGCCAAAAGAGAAGAGGCGGAGGAGACAGATGGTGTTTATAGTGCCTTTTAAACCTCAGAATTAACTTTAAAACAGGAGGACTGGAGGCCTTGGCAGCATCCCAACACCAAACCATTTTCCATTGATTGGTATGAATCATTTTCTCTCCTTGGTGCCTGTACTTTGTCTACCATCCACACCACTTAAGTACCAACAGATCTGCAATTGACCTTTCCATAGCTCTATACTGTGCTGCCTACCATGGTGTTTCTAATCCTTGTCAATTTCTTTCCAGACAGAGCTTTTTGTACATGCTTTCAAGGATCAGCTGGTGAGGAGTGCGCTTTTAGCACTCTATACAGCAAGGCCAGGAGGAATCCTTACGAAACCACCCTCTCCTAGGAGCAAAGCAGAGGAGAGCTGTCCCGAGGACCAACCCCCACGGATGAAAAGGCAGGACTCCATACCGCATCATTCAGACTATGACGAGGAAGAGTGGGTAAGTCTTTGCACATCGCTTGCCTCTCACTGTTCAAACCTGAGAAATAAAGGACACATGATAAGAGAGCTCTGTTTTTTATTAAAAAAAATATTAAGGAACAGTCATGATGCATATTGTGGAACAACAAGTCACACTTTACCTTAGGGGCAAGTTATATTTGGAAGTTATATTACTGATCAAATTAATGTGATATAGGAGTACATTGATTAGCAAATAAATCATATTTATAATCAAGACTATGCCATCAAAGCAAAGACATCATAATTACAAGACTCTATGATACTTTCCTCCTTTATTGCAAAGCTATATAAAAATATTGAAATTGTTTTTCAGAAGAAGTGTCAAAAATCATCCACATTACCATGACTGGGATGCAACAAGTATTTCAGTGTTGCAACCCAGTGTTTCACTTCTGGGCATACTTTTAAAAAATATATTCATATTTAAGTGATAGTGGACATAAAGATCTTTTAGACCCTTCTTGCTCATGATCTTATGATTGAAAAGAAGATATTGCTGCAGGTACTCTAAAATTTATATGCTCCAGATAAGCATTTGAAAAAAAAAAGATATGTAATAAAGGTGAATAAATAAAAGAAGCAAAGTAGTGAGAAGAACTCCAGTAGAGTAGAATAGGACAGGAGGGACATGAAGAGGCAGGTGGCAGGAGAGAGATATGTTATTATGGAGTCAAAGCATATTAATTTTCCAAAAACCATCCAAAGTTGTATGCATAGTTGTACACACACACAAAGAGAAACTCTGATTCATATGTTTAACAATGAGAAAAAAAAAACTGGGCCAACTATATTAGATGTGAAGCTATTGCCAGTCTAGAATTTAAGTGTTTAGGGAATGAACTATTTGAGCAGCCATGATCTCCCCAAAAAACTTGCTATCTGAGGGACTACAAAGTGATGCCTGCTCTTTCTCTGTAAAAAATTTCTATCACAGGAAACACAGAGCTTGGCTTCAAGAGGTAAATAAATGCTGAATAAATGTTGTTGCTGATTAAGATGGCGTTTCTCCTGCTGAAGCATTTTCAAAAGAGCAAATCTAATATTTCCCCCTTTTATCTGCACTTTCTTCAATTTATTCACAGCTCCAAGGCGTGCATACCTCTTAACCTCTCTGAAGTTCAATTTTCTCAACTATAAAAAGAAAATAGCACCTGTTCTGCTTACCTCTCAGGATGGTCGTGAAATAAATGGTTTACCTGTGCAGTGATGCTGTATTAACTGGATAGGTCCAGGAAAATGCATTGCATTCCTTCAACGTTATTATTATGTGTTTTTTTAAAAAAATGTGAATTATATAATCCTATTAGGAGAATCAAATCTGTCCTTTGAGAGAAGTGGGGAGATTGGGTACAGATCATAAAATGTGGATTGTGAATTTTAAACAGTTTGGGTAAATAGGTGAAACAAATTATATCTCATTTAATTAAATAGAAAATGTTAACCTTTTGAGATAAAAATTACCATTTTGTGTTAAATCAAGTGAGGATTTGGAAATTGGGTATGTTTTGTTTTTTCATTTTACCCTCCTTGTGATATGCAATCCCTCTCCCACACCCCAACTTCTTCCTTCTGCTCAAAATTGTTCCTCTTCTTCTTCTCTCCTTGTTTTCTTTTCTTTGGATGATTTTTGAGAATGTGAGTCTCCTAGGTATTTCAAATGGGAAGGTAAGTAATTCTGTGAGTAGAAGTTAATAATTCAAGAAAATACATATATATATACATAAATATGCAACAGTGAAGCCCACTATTGGTTGCAATTATAGTGCATCAATAAAAAGTCATCTTAAATCAAAATAAAAAAAGGAAAGGGGATGAGGTGTAATTTTAGCAGGGGATTGCAATAGTTGCCTTATGGAGAGGTGGTTGGTGTGTCTGTGTGTGATTATTACTTATTTTCTTTTTAAATTGCTTTAGGCTTTTAGGAGTCAGAGAAGTGATTACTAATGGAGCAGGATACTTACAAGAGAAGGAAGAGACTCAGTTCATGGAGTCCTAGGCAAAAGTGCTCTTTTCTGCTGAGGCTGCAGGGACCATGTGAAGAAGGACTACGGTGAGGGGGGGTGGGTGGCTTTTATTCTGTCCACAGAAAGGACTCATGTGCTAAGAGAAGGTGATGAGAAGAACGGAAAGTGGAGAATGGGGAGTTTCAAGTGTGCACCAAAGAAATGGGAGGTTGAGCTTATTAGCAACATTTGGAAAACTTGGGAAGAATCTCAGTGCTTATCAAGAGTGAGCCTGGTCTACCTGGTAGTTGCTCCCCTCCCCCCCTTCTCTTGGGAATACTTGAGTATTTTTTTTTTCCCCTAGAGCTGGTACTAGGAAAAAAAATATCTTCCAGAGGAAAAAGTTTTCCTAATTTTTTTTTTTTTTTTTTTTTTTTTTGCAGTTAATGACTGATTGACCAGTTTCTCTTGGTTTCCTTCAAAGGCAAAATGAAGGTCCCGACCTTTTCTCTCTGTACCTTCCTTCATATCATTTCTGCATCTCTTTCAGAATCCAGTGTTTCTAGAAAGCATGTTGTCTAAATTAACCTCAATTACAGGAAACGCTTTCCCACTCCAAAAAGTTAATTCTAACTCTATCATCTTAGTATAATTTGCTTTATTTACAAACAATATTAAGTTTGATTGTTCTATAAGATTCTTACTGATTTCCATAGCAACCACTTTCTATTGAAAAAAAAAATGCCTTTGCCAAGGGATGGAAATCCCTTTTAAAAAGACAGAAACAATTTTGCCAGAGTCATAATCATTTCAGATTATTTTCAAAGTTTTATTCAACTTTGACACAATGAGTAAATCCAAAGAAACTGTAGCTAATTGAAAATTGGAGACTGTGCCATTAAATGAATTGGAGATAGAGCCTTGTGTGTATTTCTTTTTCTTAATTAGTTGTTAGAAAAGTTTCAGCACTGATTACAAATCTAGTCAACTTCTAGAAGTAGTTCAGTGTTTTAAATTAGTGTAATTGGGTTTCTGTGATATATGAAAATATTCTCTGGTTATGTTGGCTTAGGTTTGCACATAAGAGTACAGTAGTTCCCTTTTTGTAATTCTTCATTTTACATAATTTCTGTTCTTGGCTATAAAAATTTCCTAGCTTGAATAACTGCCTTTATTCTTGTAATAAATATTTTGGAATTGAGTTCATGTTAGTAAATGACTCTTGTGTCTTGTCCTGCTTATACATCTAACAACCTTTCTTTTCTGGTCAGGAAGAAGAATCATTGTTAACTAAATTGTTTGAGGCTTCTCTGTTGTTTTGTTGACGAAGTTGATGACATATGAATCTGGACAATAATTATCTAGTCAATATGGTAGAGATTGAAACTAAAATGAGTGCTTACAAAATGCTTGTTATTTGCTGAATTTTACTTAGTAAATGATTGAGTACTTTAAAGGTTTGTTTTCCTTAAAAAGTTAGTAAACAATTAAACCCCAAAGGATTATTTGGGATTCTATGACAATCTGTACCAGGAAATAGGCTCGCATAGTGTTCTTCATCTTCCAGCTGGTAAAAATGAAATATAACATTTATTTCTCTTCATCTCCACACCAGATGCTTCCAGCAGCTGGGATTCCAAGATTAGTTTGTCCAAAGTATGAAGGCATGTCATCCAACCAAACTATTAGGTTGACCCAGTTTTTGTGGCTTCTAGTAATTATGCTATTCTCTGCAACACTGTGATTTAATTTCAACATTACATTGATAGGCTTGGGGCTAAATCTTCCTATCCCTATTCAAATACATTGTTTAAAATATAATCTTCTGATCCTTTATATTCTGATTCATTCTAGCAAAGTGCACAACAATGAAAGCTATTCTTATTATTTAGTCATATCCCAAATGCATTTTTTAATGGAACTGTGTTTCTGTATTAGGCCACAGTTCAACATCTCAATTACCCAATTAATTCCCTCATTTATGTTGCAAACATGAATCAGGCAAACATGAATCAGATTGTGAATCTTAGTCTGCATTCCTTTTTGGGGGGATTGAATCCAGGGGTGCTTAACACTGAGCCACATCCCTAGACATTTTTCATATTTTATTTAGAGACAGGGTCTTGCTAAGTTGCTAAGGCTGGCTTTGAACTCAGGATCCTCCTGCCTCAGCCTCCCAAGATGCTGGGATTACAGGCATGTGCCACTGCACCTGTCTTAGCTCCATTCTTGAGCTAGGAGAACATTTTCTCTTTTTTATTACAGTAAATGTGTTCATCTCACATAAGGGCAATGGATAATCCACATCGACCTTTAATAATTTTTCAATAATTGTATCAAATTTAGAAAAGTAGCATAAACTCAGAGCAATACTTACATCAAACACCTTGTTAATAAAGTCCATATATTACCTGAACAAGCATGAGGCTTTTCTGTAATCACTTTCCCCTTCAGAAAGGACAGGGAGAATGAGGCCAGTAGTTCCCTATATGACAACTGAATGTAGTCTACCATCTATTTTCGTGATGGATGAGAAACATTCCTTGACTTCTCCAGTTCATTTCACCCTCAAGAAATGTGCTTGGAATACTTATCCCATATTAGATTCCAGAAAAAGGTGATTAAGCAAAGTTCATGACTGTCCATTAAAATGCACAAATGTTCTATTAAAGAAAAGAAACCCCAAATGAGACTTTTATGTGCATGCATATTCATGAAATCCTGCCTGTTTCTAGATTTCCCACATGCAGTTAATACTTTCACCTTCAGTTCACTGTTTTATAGCACTTAACACAGTGTTCATACTGTCTAGTTCAAGGATTTTGCAGTTAATGTAGGAACAGGTGAAAGGACAGATTTGTGGAACCAACAGCTCATCCTCCAAGTCCACCTGTGTTTTAATAGAGATATTTTATTCCAAAAAGGTGATGGTGAGTTTCCTGTGGTTTTAAGTTGAATGTCATTATCCCCCTTTGGATACTCTCCTGTCTCTTACAATACCTGGTTCAATGTATACATTTTGATAACTGCACAA